CTTGACACTCTTCTAGTGTTCTAATATAGAAAGTGTGAATGCAGTGATTCTATGAGTTACATCTCTTTCACATGTGAGAGTACTGTGATCCTGATTGAGAAGGCTTTATTAATAGGTGTGACAGCTGTTAGAGCATGGTTGAGTGGTTTTGACTTGTGCTTGTGTACATTGACAGTATTTCATGTATTATAACTATATGCAGTATCATGCAACACTGAGAAGAGAGGGAACACTGTGTCATAATGAGAGAATTTGCATTACTGCTGTTTGCCACAGACCTTCCAGTGGACGATGGGTCTGCGGGGAGGCCAAGACTTTGGATGAACAGGTCAGGAGTGGCTTCAGCTTGACAGACAGACACAAACACACTCGAGGAGGTTTGCAACTGCTGCAATTTTTTACTTCAGATTATCGGGTTTTTATGCAGAAAGTTCAAGGAACAGATCTTTTGCCACAGTTTAAAATTTACAGACATACTATAGAAATGTCAGCAATTACTTTGGAGCATGATATCGTAAATACATCTAAGCAAGTGTATAGCTGGGAACCTCTGTTTATTTTGGCCTGCTTGTGGTCAGCATACCAGGGATTTGATTTACTGAGTTTAGAGAATAATCATTGTCTCTGGTCAGTAAACTTTTAACAGCATTGATAAGAACTCTTGTACTGTTTTATTGATTTAGGGGCCCTAAAAACTCAGTAGTAAATCCCACAAAAGCTTTGCTGTGGGCGGGCTAATTAGGCAGGGTCATCTTGTGGGCAAATTCCTATAGCTTTAGGTATGTTAATTTATTAGGACCTGGGCTGACATCTGAAGTCTCAACTGGTGCCCTGGGATTTGTAGCTGATTGCTGGTCTGTATCTCTTTCAGTCCCTGAAACTATATCTAAGTGTATTCTGGGCTTCTCTGAATTAACAGTGGAGCTACAGGCCAAAGCACCCATGATCAAAAGCATTAAAGCTATCATAGCACAACAAACACCTAGCACCCGTTCCAGACTGTCAGTAGGGCAATCACCTGCAGGGTCCTGAACCACTTTTCCCCAGGAGGCAAAACCACGTGTGGTGCCAACCTCTGGACAGGTAGCCATTGAGATTTCTCTCAGCCATTGCTACACTGTCTCAAGTGGAGCTGGTGTGGCAGCTGTTAGTTCCATAATGAGTGCAATGGTAGTGCTTGCCTGTTGTAACACTGTGAGATAATGCTCCCAGGAAGAGAGATATTGTGGGACACTATTGTTGAGTGTTGGGATCCTGTGCTTGAGTATTCTGATATTCTGTGCCCATTTTGACAGTACGTCTCTGAGTCAATACACACGGTAGGTGAACTATGACATTGAAAGGGAGTAATTTCACAGTGTGCTATATGTCTATTATAGTGCTTGTGAATGTAGTGTACCTGTGTGTCAGTGGTTCCTATATAGTAGCCCTGATCAAACACTGTGTGAGTCTGCTCTGACGCTGAGAGTACTTTGTCACTTTGTCAGAGTGTTGAAAGTTGTGAGTGAGATTGGTGTGACTGCACATGTCAGTGCGGTTACACCCAGCTAAAGTGCTTATCCAATATGGGAGACTACAATCACAGTCTAATTGAGTGCATTGCCAAAGTGTGTTGAAACTGTGTGACTGCTCTGAAACTGTGCATCCATGCTGTAACACAGTGTGAGAAGGTAAAACTGCATTGCTGCTAACTCTAACACTAACAGTAATCCTAACCCTAACCCTAACCCTAACCTTATCCCTATCCCTATCCTCAAAAAAAAAAAAATCATAGTCACAACCTTATGAGAACACTATTGCAAACATAAAACTGACACTAACACTAACACTGACCTTTTCCCCAGCTCAGCCCTATCCCTACACCTAACCTGTGAGGGTGTATCTTGACATATCTAGAGTACTGATATAGAATGCTTGGATGCTGTGGTTCTATGAGTTACATCTCTTTCACATGTGAGAATACTGTGATCCTGATAGAGAAGGCTTTTTTAATGGGTGTTACAGCTGTTAGAGCATGTTTGAGTGGTTTGGACCTGTGCTTGCGTACACTGACGGTATTTCGTGTAGTATAACAATAAGCAATTTTGTGCAACACTGAAGAAGAGCATGAAAACTATGCCATAAAGAGAGCATTTGCTTACTGCTGTTAGTTTAATATTGATTGCAATGGTAGGGCTTGCCTGTAGTAACACTGTGAGATAATGCTCCGAGCATAGACATTTTGTGGGACACTATTTTTGAGTGTTGGGATCCTGTGCATGAGTATTGTGAAAATCTGTGTGCCCTTTGACAGTACATTTGCGAGTCTATATACACGGTAGATGAACTATGACATTGAACGGGAGTAATTTCACAGTGTGATAGTTGTCTATTATAGTCCTTGTGAACGTAGTGTACCTGTGTGTCAGTGGTTCCTATACAGTAGCCCTGGTAAAACACTGTGTGAGTCTGCTCGGACTGAGTGTACTTAGTCATTTTGTCAGAGTGTTGAAAGGTATGTGTGAGATTGTTGTGACTGCAGGTGTCAGTGCGGTTACACCCACCTAAAGTGCTTATCCTATATGAGAGACTACACTCACAGTTAACTTCGTGCATTGTCAAAGTGTTAGAGTGTTGAAACTGTGTTAGTGACTGATGTGAAACTGTGCATCCATGCTGTAACACAGTGTGAGTAGGTAAAACTGCATTGCTGATAACTCTAACACTAACAGTAGTCCTAACCCTAACTCTAACCCTTCAAAGCAAAACATAGTCACAAACCTAATGAGAACACTATTACAAACATAAATCTGACACTAACACTAATATTTACCCTTTCCCCAGCTCAGCCCTATCCCTACACCTAATCTGTGAGGGAGTACCTTGACACTATTCTAGAGTCCTAAGTTAAAATGCTGTGATTTTATGAGTTACATCTCTTTCACATGTGCAAGTACTGTGATCCTGATTGAGAAGGCTTTATTAATGGGTGTGACAGCTGTTAGAGCATGGTTGAGTGGTTTTGACTTGTGCTTGTGTACATTGACAGTATTTCTTGTATTATAACAATATGCAATTTCGTGCAACACTAAGAAGAGAGGGAACACTGTGCCATAATGAGAGCATTTTCGTTACTGCTGTTAGTTTCATAATGAGTGCAATGATAGTGTTTGCCTGTTGTAACACTGAGATAATGCTCCCATGCAGAGAGATTTTGTGGGACACTATTGTTGAGTGTTGGGATCCTGTGCTTGAGTATTGTGATATTCTGTGCACATTTTGACAGTACGTTAGCGAGTCTGGATACAAGGTAGGTGAAGTGTGACATTGAACGGGAGTAATTTCACATTGTGCTAGTTGGCTATTATAGTGCTTGTGAATGTAGTGTACCTGTGTGTCAGTGGTTCCTACACCGTAGCTAAAGAGATGGCTCAAACAAAACCAACCAACCAAAACAAAATTCAAGTAAGTTTAATCATTTTGCACCTCTACAAAAAATCCTACAATATTTACCTATTGTATCAAATGAAAAATAAATGGATATTTCCTTTTCTCCTCTGCTCTCTAGCCACTATGGTGTAGGGAGGGCCCTTCTTTGATGGCTCTCTATGTGCTTAATAATGCTTCATTGTCGATCTTCCAGAGAACTTACCGCCTTTGTGGGAATTTTTTTGTTTTTTGTTTTGTTTTTGTTTTTGTTTTTGTGAACAGGGTCTCCTGGTTGGCTGGCAACTTGCTACTTAGGCAGATCTATCCTAGAACTCACAGTTATCCACTTGCCTATCCAGTGCTGGGGTCAAATGTGTGTTCCGCTATATTACTGGCTATTTTGTTAATACTTAATACTGTGTCAATTTATCCTCCTTTTAGTGCTGGGGTGTTTTCTTTAACAACTATCACTATCTAATGTGCTATAAGTAAATTATTGTGTTTATTATCTTTAGCACAAATAAAATACAGGTTGAAAACAGAGAGTCTTTTATACATTCTTAATTTTTTTTATTATTTTATTTATTTTGTCTTCAAGTGTGCTTGTGCATTACATCCATACAATGCCTCCAGAGGCCAGAATAGGGTGTGTGATCCCCTGGAACTGGGCCTACAGGATTTGTGAGCAGCCATGTGGATACTGGTAATAAAACTTGGATCTTTGTCTGGAAAAGCAGCTAGTGCTCTTAATCACTCAGCAATCTTTCCACCTGCAAGAATAGAGATTTTTGTCTACTGTGGTTACTAACCACCTGCAAGTGTGTCTTTATAAAGTTGCTGCTCAATATACAGTTGTCAAATGAACCTATGTTAAAGCTGTATTAGGTGTCAAGAACTGTTCTTGACACTGGGATACGACAAAAATCAAACAAAGTAAAAACAATAAAAACAAAAACCGTTCCTGCCGTCTTCTGGGACTCACACGTTTAATCAAGTCAGTAGCCTGTTTTTCAGTCTAGGCTCCACCTTTTTTGTTTCCTTTGATATTTGGGGCAAGTAACACGTGCAAGTTTTGCTCGCCTATCAGTCTTAAGAGGAAAAACAGCGCGCCAGTATTTGTACAGAATTTAGCATAAGAAATGCTTTAGTATTTTTCTTTTCTTCCAAGCCAGAGAACTGGGGGTGTTAAATCTGTTCCACACATCTAGGCCGGGTCTTCACTAGCCCTGGAGAGTCGGTAACAAGTTTCCCTAACTTTAAGTGAAGATGCTGATAGTGTGCTTTGCAGGGTAGGAATGAGAGCCAGGGAATACCTACTTGCTGTGTAGTCTTCCCGCACAAAAGCCTCATCTGGTTCCCCTAAGGTGAACAGTAGCAACAGAAGAGCTTCTACGAAAACTACAAATCCCAGCATGCTCCGCGGCATACTGCTACGGGTCCCAGCAGGTTTCGTCAGCAGAACCCCAGAAGTTCGGCCTGAGAGGGCGCCGGGCGTGCGGAGGCGCGGAAGTCAGGATTTGACGTCGCTTCGCAGACGCCACTCACGGGTCGGACGTGACGTAAGGAGGGTTCCGGCTTCTGCCTCGCCGCTGCCTCCAGTACTACGTCTGCTGTCTCTGCCGCCGTCGCCGCTGCCGCGGCTTGTTCTTCCTAAAATGGCGCCGCTGGATCTGGACAAGTATGTGGAGATAGCGCGGCAGTGCAAGTACCTTCCCGAGAACGACCTGAAGGTGAGCCGGGCCGGAGGCCGTCCTGTTTGCGAGGCAAGCCCTTTCCGGCTGTGGGGCGCCCGCCAGCCCGCCCTTGTCCCTCGGCCGGACCCCGACCGGGCACCTGGCCCTGGCGCGGCGGAGGGCGCTCCGCGTTAGGAGGCGACCCAGTCAGACGCCGAGAACCACGGGGCCCGAGTTCACCGAATGCTGGCGCGGCTCCCTGAGGGGACCCCGGGGATGTGCAGCTCCCTGGGTCCCTCAGGACTCCGAGCCCTAGCAGCCTTGCTTAGACTCTCACTTTAACACGTTCGGTCCTCGGAGACGGACCCCGCCGAGCTCCAGCGAGCTGTGCTCGCGCGATGGGGTCCGCCCAGCAGAGGTGTTAGGAGCTGACTTGCTCCAGGGACGCGGATGGCCGCAGAGTGTTTAAGTCCCTGGGAGTGGGAAGCCGGTGGGCGGGATCGGTGTGACAGTAGTAGGTCCCCATTGGTGTTTTTCAATGGTTGCTAGTGTAAGTTTTATTCCATTAATTTTGATTTAGTGTGTGTGTGGTAAATACATAAACTCTCAATCACTTGAATTCTTTTGTGCTGTTTTTATAATCATTTTAAGTCAGAGGCTTAAAACTCTTTTCAGGAAAAAAAAGTATCTTTTTGCTAATGAATTATATTTCTCCTAGGCAAGATGTTGCTCTGTGTGTATTTTCCTGTCTCATTTGATACAAGTATGCAAAATGTTTAAGACCCTGTGTATTGTTTGTGTAAAAGTACCTAACTTGTACTTAAATATTGATTGTATGCGTTACATAGTTGGCATTCACATGTTCAGCCGCCTGCATCTTTCAGTCATTAGGCTCTTCTTTCTACTTGATAAAATTGTTTTGGTTTTGTTTTCTTTCTGAGATAGATCTTAAGATAGGTCTTCTGGGGCTGGAGAGATGTCTCAGTGGTTCAGAGCACTGGTTGATCTTCCAGAAGAAATTCTATTCCCAGCAAGGACATGGAGGTTAACTCCTGTTCAAGGGATGTGATTCCCTCTTCTGGTCTCTACAAGCACCAAGGCACACACCTGTTTCACAGACATACATGCAGCCAAAAAGCCATACACATAAAATAAAAGTAAATCTTTTTTTAAAAAATGGCCTCCAACCCATTAAGTACCATGAATTCTGATCCTCTTGCTTCCACTTCTCAAATGCTACAATCTAAACTATATGCCTGATTTAGTTTTAGTTAGTGTTTGGAGGGAGATGAATAAGTGCACATGGTGCCTTTGAAGGTCAGAGGCACAAGATAACCCAGGAGCTATAATTACAGGCAGTTTGTGAGCCACCAGATGTAGGTGATGAAAACTGAACTCGGGTGCTCTATACAGACTTAAGTGTTGAGCCGTCTCTTTAGTGTTTTGTTTTTTTTTTTGTTTGTTTGTTTGTTTTGTTTTGAGCGCGCGCGCGCGCGCGCACACACACACACACACACAGAGTATCATATAGCCCAAGCTTGCCTTGAACCACTGGTTCTGCTTCTACCTTAATAGTGGTTTGTTTTGTTTTATTTTATTGTGGTATGAGGATTGAACTGATTTTTTAAAAAGATTTGTTATTTTTATTTATGTATTTGTATGTGTACCTGTGTGAATTTATTTTTAATATGTGTGTGCTGGTGCTGGCAGAGGCAGAAAGCATCCTATTCCCTAGAATTTGATTTATACGTGGTATAAGCTAACTGATGTAGATGTGGGGAATCAAACGTGAGTCTTCTGCAAGAAAAGTAAACTTTAAATGGCTGACCATTTTTATTATTGTATGCTTTTTAATTTTATTTATTTTGTTTATCAAGACGGGGTTTCTCTCTGTAGCCCTGACTGTCCTAGAACTCGCTATAGACCAAGCTAGCCTTGAAATCAGAGATCCACCATATGTCTCTGTCAGGGTATGTGCACCTGAGTATAGACTCCCTTAGAGTCCAGAAGCATTAGATCTCTTTGGAATTGCAGTTATAGGCAGTTGTAAGCAGCCTGACGTGTGCTGGGAATAGAGCACAATTCCTTTACAAAAGTAGTATATGCTCTTAACCACTTTGTCATTTCTTCAGCACCATGTTTATCTGTTTCTTGCTAGACTTCCATACCACCACCACCCTCCTAAGTTTTTGGGTAACTACTGGATAGAATTTTTTTTTACTGTATCCTAAAAACAGTTTTACCAGATTGATTTTCATCTGCTGCCAGTCTCTGGTATATTTTCTATGTTCTTGGTTGCTTATTTATTAAGTTTTTACCCTGTAGTCCAGTTCTTGACTCAGCTATATTGCCCAGTCTAACCTTGAGCTAGCTGCAATGGCAATCTTCCTGCCTCGGTCTCCTGAGTGTTGGAATTACAAAGATGTGCCAGCATTCTTGACTATCTAGTGTTTATGAAATTCAGTTTTAGTGACTCTTGGTGGCAAATGTGTTTATTCCCAACACTCAGAAACAAGAGGCAAGTGGATCTCTGTGAGTTTGAGGCCAGCCTGGTTTACATAGTGAGTTCCAGCCCAATTTGAACTGCATAGTGAAATTCGATCTCAAATATAAAATAAATAAAAATGAAGAAAGGAAAGAAACTCAATTTTATTTGTGTTGTCTGGCATAAAGTACAAACTAAAAATAGGTAAACCAAGGAAATATTCTAAGAGATTTTCTTTTTTTTTTATGTGTATAAATGTTGTGTTCAAATGTTTTGTCTGTATCATGTGCATGCCTGGTGTATGAGGGAGTTAGAAGAGGTCTTCAGATCTCCTGGAATTAGTTTCTGGGTGGTTACAAGCCACCATGTTGGTGCTTGAAATTGAACCCAGGTCTCTGTAAGACCAACAAGTGCTCTTAACCACTGAGCCATTTGTCCAGCCTTGAGTCTTAAAAAAGAATTTTGTGTGTGATTTTCATTTATATTTTATGTATGTGGACATTTTACTTGTATGTATGTCTGTGTACCACCTGCGTGCAGACCATAAGAGGCTCTCTTGGGACTGGAGTTACAGATGGTTTGAGCTGTTTCGTGGGTGCTGGGAATTGAAACCAGAACCTCTGGAAGAGCAGGCAGTATTCTTAACTTCTGAGCCATCTCTCCAGCCCCTAGCATTGTCTTTTTTGAGGTCTTAATGCCAAAATTCTATCAGAAGGAAAAGAGAAATAATTGGAGACACTTAATAAATAGTACCAAAAAGATCATTGTACACGCTAGTCAAAACCTCTATCACTAAGCTATGACCTTAATCCTGTAAATGCTTGCCTTTGTCACCCTTAATTTTGGGTAGAACCTTAATTCTGGAGAGGTGGTTCAGAGGTTAAGAACACCTAGGTTCAATCCCAGCACTCATATGGCATTATTTATAGCAGTCTTCCTGCCTCTGTCATGTGCTAAGAACACACAAATATGCCCCTGAGTTAATCTGGACCTCATCCACCACCACCAAAAAAAAAAAGTTTATGGATACTAGAAAAAAAAGTAAGTTTTGACATGTTGTTAATATGTGACTAACTAAAAGGAAAAGTCAACTTAGAGAAAACTGAGAAAACTATTACCGAGATACATTCTTCCTTTTCTTATTTTTGAAACAGGGTCTCCCTGTGTTGCCTGGCCTGGCCTGGAAATTACTAAGTAGCCAAGGCTGGCCTTGAACTGCTTGCCTCTGCCTGCTAAGTGTTATGATTAAAGGTATGGACCTCTATAGCTAGCTATTACATGTGGTAAGAATCTGACAAAATCTTGAAAAAGGTGTCTGAATGGATTTTTTCTGATTATTCTGAAGAAATTCTTGAGGGATTTCTTTCCTTCTTTTTTGTTTGTTTGTTTGTTTTTGTTTTTGTTTTTTTGGCTTTGATTCCCCCCCCCCCCCCAAGACAGTGTTTCTTTGTTTAGCCCTTGGCTGTCCTAGAACTCACTCTGTAGACCATGCTGGCCTCAAACTCAGAGAGATCCACCGGCCTCTTTCTCCCAAATGCTGGGATTACAGGATGCACCACCTGGCCTCTTGAGGGATTTCTAAGGGCAGTAAAAGGGAAGTTTTAGAAATAATATTCTAGCAACATTGTGGATCTTGGACTGGAATGGGACATAAGTCTTGTAAAAACAGGTGTAATGGCAAAGATCTGTAATACCAGCACCTAGAAGGCAGGGGGGGGGGGGGTCACATGTTCAAGGTCTCCTTCAGCTACATAAAGAACCTGAGTCAAGTGAGACCCTATCTCTGACAAACAAAAAAGAACAATAAATTTGAGGATCAAGAGTGAACAAGGAGAATGGGAGACAATGAATATGTATTTTGAGGAAGAAGTAGAGAAGAGAAATAAGATCTTCTGAAAGTGAGGCCATGAATCTGTTATTACCTTAGGATTAAGAACTGACTGAACATGATAGGAAGAGGAACATAATTTGCCCTGAATTTGAAAATCTATTTTTTAGATTGTGACCATTTTGAACAGTAAAAAAAACCCATGTTTTCTACAAACAAAACACTAAACAAAGCTCTGAAGGCTGTCTTGTCCACAGTGTGCCTGGGCTCTGTGAGGCCACTGCAGGTGCAGTTGCTGACCTGCAAAGGGTATATATTGAAGTTTCATAGACTTTTATTTTGTGAGTATTTGATAGGAACTTATTATGCTACTTCTGTTATTTGTTCTGCTTTGTTGCACTAGAGATAGAATCCAGGGCCTCTTGATTGTTAGGCAGTTTTCTGTCACTGAGCCATATCCCTATCTGTAAGTTCCTGATGAATCAAAGAGATGAAAAGCAGTGCTGTAGCTTAAGGACATTGCTGTCTAAGTGCTCATTTAGAACTAGCATTCATAGGAAGCAGTTACAATTGTACTCTATTTAGCATACCTGGGTTGGGTGACATGCCTTCTTCAGGCACTGAGCCTTTAAGATTGACAAGGTTTCTTGGTTGATGTTCTTTAGTTTATGGTGCAGGCAGTGTGGACCAACAGTTAAGGAGTTGTTACAGACTAGGAGAGCCAGCCTCAGTTGGGCATAAAAT